CAGGAATGAAGGGGAAAGAAAACCACATTTCTGGCTGCACCAGCTCAGAGCAGTCTCTTCTGTCACTGGGAGGGGCTGGACTGGGATGGAAAGTGCCCGGGAGAGGAATAGTCCAATGTTCAGCAATGCTGTGTGAATGTACAGGGTGAGGACTCACAGAAGTGGGTTTGTTGTACAGAGCCAGGTCTTGGGAAGGCAGATGAGACATGCAGGCACAGGAGAGAGGAGGCTAGTTCGTGTCGTTGGTCACACGGACAGCCTGGGAAGGTGTCCCAGGGCGTTTGTCACCCCCCAACCTCTGCCATCAGCCCTTTCCAGCTCTGGCCACTATCCCCAGGTTCTGGGTGAGTTTTGCTTTGTAGCCATCTCCTTGCTCCTGCTGGGCCAGTCCTTCCTGGCCTCTCTCCCGATCCAGACCCCAGCACAACCCAGAGCAGGGCTGCCTGTGAACTGTGTGTGGAACATGGCTGGGTCTGGGCAGGGGCTGGGTGCTGCAGGGGGCCTGCCAAAGTAGAAGGACTGTGGTGGGATAGGGCAGCAAGGGCCTGCTGTAGGGACCTTGCTGGAGGGATGTTTCTCAGCCCTTGATGCGCCCAACCCCATGTGGTTTTGGCACAGTGCGGCTGTGGGTCTGCATGTGGGGCAGCAGGGCTGGGCTGGAACAGGGGAATTGGGAAACTAATGGAAGCACCCAGGGGTGCTGGGTGAACTGGCTGGTGTCACTGCAAGGCTGTTCTTGATGCCCTTTGAAGTGTCAGGGTGCTGAGGGAGGGTTGTGGTGTCTGGGGAGGCAGACATTGCAGCCATTTTTAAGAAGGGCAGGAAGAGTTGTCCCAAAAATCAGGGTTTGTTTACCTGGTGTGAGGGATGCCAATGCACACAGAGAGCAGAGATGTTTTATTTAATATTAGCGCAGATGTGGGTGTCTGTCCCAAGACAGCACACCTCATTCACAAATCGACAATAATTTATACGCTTAACATTCTCAGATTCATCTTCTTAATACATATGCATTGTTATTCTATTAAATGCCTGGTTAAAGTCTCTTTGTCCAGCATGTAAATTAGTACCCTTGCACAGTCTCTTCATCCTTTGAGTGTGGGGTAGAAATGGGGTAGGTGATCTGTGAGTTAATGTTTGTGATCTCCCCCTGCCGCAGTTACCTTTCACCGAGTTGCCTGTTCCTTTCGGCAACCTCAGCAGCTTTTCAGACCTCATTAGCTATTCTTTCGATACATCACTCTCTGGTTCTGCTTTGGAAAGGGACATCCTTCTAGTGAAACAATAACACATTATTAAAAATCTTCTTTCGTAGTTTCTGTAGTTAATTTTAAACTTACAAGATTACAAAACTTTTGACTCTGTTAAGGGTAGGGCCTTACAAAAATACCTACAACAGCAACAGTCTAGTCATCTCATTTATCATTTCACATTTGATTCCCCTGTTTATTCCTTTGTATAACAGAAGGACGGTGTGGGAAAGTACAGGCTGCGGAGCCTCCCCTCAGCCCCTGGGGAGGTGATGGAACAAATCTTCCTGGGTGCCAGTTTCAAGCATACAAAGGATGAGATTTGAAAAAGCCAGCACGGACTGACTAAGGCTGCCTGACCAGCCTGGTTGCCACGCATAAGGAGATAAATGGCCGTGTCCACAAGTAGCAAGCAGGGTTTTTTATGTACCTTTTCTTTAGCATGGCCTTTGACACAGTCACACATAGACTCCTTTAGGCCAGACTGGTGAGATCTGCAATGGGGAAATGGACCATAGGTGGATGGAAAGTCAGAGGCAATCAGGCCAAAATGCTGTCATCCGTGGTTCAAAATTCAACCAGTGGCTGGTTCCTGGTGACACCCCTCTGTTAGCAACACTTGGGCTACACAGTTTAACTATGGACAGTTTGGACAAGGGGATGGAGTACTCTCTGCACCTTGTTGGAGAGTGTCAAACTGAGGGCAACCCCTGAGAAACCTCATTAGTTTCCTCTGCACTGAGCACAGGGCTTGGACTACATGGCATCCGGAGGTCTTTTCCACCTGGAGTGACTCGACCAGTCAATGAATCATTCTGATGAGAGCTCTGTAAAAGCAGGAGAGGCAGAAGAAGAAAGGACAGAGACACAGGAGAAGAGAGATCAGCTGTGTTAATAAAAATATAATAGTTCCTCAAAATACAAGTGGTAGTAGTAATAGGAAAAAATAATAGTAGTAAAAAGAGTAATATTTTGCAGAAAAACTGCACCTGTCCCTCTCACACACAGACTGTACTTCCTGCAGGGAATGGAAAGGGACTGTGGCTGGATGGTCTCAAAGCTTTCTGAAGAAGTCACTGTAACACAGATACGATGAGATTTGGCTATTCAGAGCATTTCTCTGAAGCTGGTCACCTGCTTCCCTCTGTAAGGTGAGAAATGTTGAGTGTGTGACTCACTCTTGTCCTTGCAAGTCCCAGGCAAGGAGTGCTTTGGGATGCGATAGGCTCTGTGTGAGTCAGAAAGGTATCTTTTTTAAATATTGTCACTGAAAACTGACAAGTTGTTCATTTGACCCACCAGTCTGACTTGGGTGGCACACAGTGATTAGTAAGCAGTGGGCAGTTCCTCAGGCTCCCAGGCCTTGAACCAGAATGACAAGGTGAAACAGGAATGCTCATCTTTCTGTCCCAGCTTTTCGTAAGTGTGCTAAAGAGTAGGGGAAAGGAGGAGTGCTTCAAAGTGCAGCCAGTGAGGTGTAGACTGGACACAAGGAGAAAGAAAGGTCACTCCAAGAGCAGTGCCACTGTGAACCGCGAGGTCCCCCTGAGGGAGTCTGGATCAGCCCAAGGCTTTGTGTGTCATATAATAGCCACATGCAAAAGTAAAGTAAAGGTTAGAAAGGTGCTGAGAAGAGAGCAAGATGGGGTAGCATAGTAGAGGTCTACAGCCTGCCAAGGTGTGGCACACTAGGAAAGCCTCAGCTTTGCCTGAGGGCTGTGGCAAAGCTGAAAGTCTCCAACACAGCCAAGGTCTTTGCCTCCATGGGTATGGCAGTTGTCTCTGCCACTCTACCTGCAGACAACACCATCACCTTTGCTTGCTCCTCAGGACCTGCAGAAACAGAGATGGCCCTGGACAGTGCCCGGAGCTCAGCTCACAGTGGGTGGCATGCGGTCTGTGAGCACTGACAGGGAGGAGATGTAGGGGAGAGAGAAACAGCTCCTGGCAGGGGAATCTCCAGGCAGCAGAGAGCCATGTTACCCCCCTGCATCACTCTCTGGTCAGCTGCACGGGGAAAGAGAGGAGTTTGGAGGAGTGGACTTTGAAGCTGACCTGTTCTGCACTAAAGGGGTGTAAGCACAGGGCACCTGTGTGGTGACCAGCAGGTCACTCGTGGGCAGACCGGCTCTCCTGACCCTGCACTAGGGAACAGGGAACTCTTTGGTTCTTCACAAGCTCACCAGTCTTCACGACAACAGCAATGCAGAAACTGAGGATTTCTACCCCTGCAGAGAAAGTGCCCTGGCAATGGCAGCATCTCCTATCACACTAAATGTATCATAAAACCCTCTGCTTCAGACTGTCTTCTGGAGACTGGTGTCTGAAGCTGTTCAGCTGCCCTTCCCCCATGCTGGCTGCACTTCGTCAGGGCACAGTGTGAACATCGTAATTTCCACACAACAGTAGATAAGGACAGTTCCCACAAGGTCACTGGAGTAAATACCTCTCACTGAGCTGTAGGCACCCACTGCCAGGAAATCCTAGAAATGCACAGGATGTTTGACACTACTGCAGTGGCGTGGGACTGACTTCTCTGGAGCACTTGCTCCTCAAGACACACTCAGCAGCACACACCTGAGATCACAAAAGGGAGCTGAATGAAGGTCCCCCTGGGAAAGAGAAGACAATGTAAGGGGATATTTTTGGGAAACAGCATAGGATTGGGTCAGAGAAGTCTGTCCTAACGTATCAAT